TCGGAAGCCCCGAACTGCTTCGGGAAGCCAAATGAGGCAGCGCTTCGACCCGGACATGCTGCTTTGGACCCTGAAGTGTCTGAAGCTTCTCCAGATCTGAAGCTCTGTCCGAAGCCTCGCACAGCCCTACCAAGCATGCACCTAGTCTCCCGAGTCCCAGCTTGGGGCCTTGACTTACGTGACCTTCTCTCAGCCGCTTGTCCTGAAAGCTTAGAGACAGCTCCCAGCATCTGGGTCAGGCTTTATCTCAGGGATTCAGATGTATTTCTTCCACACAGAACTAGCTCATCACATCAGATATCTTGTCCCCCTCACCTAGGGCCAATCTATTCCATACATTTTATGGGCCACTTGCCTGAAAATCACACCTGACTTCAAGGCTTCCTTATGATTACCAACCTGCTTCCTGTGTCTCCCTTGTATCTCAAGGGTTTCTTACTGCAACTCTCTTCCCCTGGCAGCACTCTCCCTTGCCAAAGCCATTTTTAAGCTTTTTTAATTTCCTGGTCAGTGTCATCTGATAGGTGGTTGACACATCTCAGGTAAAGCTAACTCAACTGCAACATCTTCCTAAAGACTGTGGTGGTGATTTTATCCAGAATAGGCTGGTCAAACTAGGGATTTACTAGAGCTGCTCAGGGCAGGGTGCGTGTCTGCGCAGAGCCTCTTCTTTTCCTTCTAAAACCTTTTCTCCATGTTTTAGGGTTCCTCACAGTGGGGTTATCATCTGTGAAGCGGAAGCGAGGGCACTATCTCCTGGATACGCTGACGTCCATCTTTGAGCAGTCAACAAATGAGGAGCTCAATGAGATGGTGGTGGTGGTGCACCTTGCTGACTCAGACATGGAGTGGAATGTCAAAGTGGCCAAGGACATCACCACAAAGTTTCCTCACCACCTTCTTGCGAGCCGCCTGCTTGTTATCCACGCCCCTCAGGATTTCTATCCAGCCCTGGAAGGCCTGAAGAGGAATTACAATGATCCAGAAGATAGGGTGAAATTCAGGTCAAAGCAGAATGTGGACTATGCTTATCTCCTTAGTTTTGCAGCAAACCTGTCTACCTACTACCTCATGATTGAGGATGATGTGCAGTGCTCCAAGTCCTTCTTCACCTCTATCCGAAGGGTTCTGGCATCCCGGGAGGGCTCCTATTGGGTCACTCTGGAGTTCTCCAAGCTGGGCTACATTGGGAAACTCTACCACTCCAGTGACCTACCCCGTCTTGCCCAGTTCCTCCTCCTGTTTTACCAGGAAATGCCATGTGACTGGCTGCTGGTGCATTTCCGCCTTCTGCTCACCCAGAAGGAAGTGATCCGCTTTAAGCCATCCCTCTTCCAGCACGTTGGTCTCTATTCCTCCTTCCAGGGGACCATCAATCAGCTGAAAGATGATGAGTTCAAGGTGGATTTCTTTGACCTGCCAGACAATCCTCCTGCAACACTGTTCACAGACATTGCCATCTTTGAAGATTACTTGCCCATCAAGGCCTACAGCACCATGGAGGGGTACTTCTGGGGAAAATCCCCCACTGCTGGCAGCCACTTCACCCTTGTGTTCCACCAGCCGGCCCATATCTCATGCATCTCGATCCACACAGGCTCCCCAGAGCGCCAGAGTGACTATCTGCACATGGGGACTGTAGAGCTGGGCACCCAATGGCAGAAGAACCTCAAGGCCTGCATTACATACACACCCATTGGCACTTTTAAGATGGGAAACTTTGAACAGAAAGGCCTGGAGAATGGCAGGGGCTCCAGTGTGGAGTGTGTACGGATTCAAGTGACACAGAGCCAAAGTGAATGGCTGATCATCCGCAGTATCAGCATCTGGACCAAACCAAACCCCTGAGAGGTCCTCTGCTTCCCCTCTCAGAGGTTACGCAGCCATGGCAGGGATTCATTGCACTATGTGAGAGCACCTGTGTTGATATCAATTCCTTTTTTTGGCAAATGAAATCACTGAGCCCTTCTGGGTCAACTTTTATGGCTTGGGTTTTCCCAGATTATCTTCTGGATCCTGTTCAAGAGGAAAATCAGGCAGCTGATTATAATAATAGATTTCTTCTTTTGAGGGTAGGTGAAGGTTGCGGGCTTACTGTTGCTGCGAAGGTAAGAGGGTGGTGGCACTGCCCAGGAAAAAGAGCTGGCACCCTGTAGAGGTGTATAAAGGACAAGAGCCCAGCAGGGAAGGAAGCTGGTTCAGTGGGGGATGTGGGAGGATGGTGATTCAGCAAGGATGTGGCACAGCAGGGCTCTGGTAGCAAAGCAGGATGGAGCATTGGCAAAGTAAAACAGGGAGGTAATTCAGCACATTCAGACTCTTAAAGTGCAGGGCACCTCACACCTTTAGGTCCTGATTGCCAGTGCTCTGTGCTGGAGCCCAGCCTAGCATGATCCCAAAGGGCTGATGGGCCCTCTGAGTCAACAGGCTGTTGTTGCTGTGCAGTTAGGACATTCAATAGGCCAGACCTCAGGATTGAGGTAGACCCTTGGGGCTGTGGAGAGCCTGGGACAAACAGTGGCCTCTGACTCAGAGCAAATTTAGAGGTGTTTTCTACTGAGAGATCCTAACCCGGAGAAGGGGACTTCTTGTTGTGATAGCTTCTGCACATGGATGCCTAAGGAAGAGCCCTGGTACAGCAAAGCCTTGAATTTCCCAATGTAGAGACTGCGCCAAACCCAAACATATGATGGGCTGGATTCCTTTAGGCTGCCAAATTGAGAGGCCTCAAAACTCACACTCAGATGCTGCGTCACCTCACTTCTCCATATTTATGTTCCTCAATGCCTAATGCTCTGCTCCTGGGCACATAAAGAAGTACCGCTGCTTTCTCAGCCCTAAGCTGCTTGGCTCACACCTGTTTCCCACAAATGGGATGTTCCTCTGCCTATCTCATAGAAAATCATAGAAAATTAGGATTGGAAGGGACATCAGGAGGTCATCTAGTCCAACCCCCAATCTTATCAAAGGGCTGTGATCTGGTAGGTATTCTTGGAGCCTGCCTGCCAGATCAAGATCCACATAAAACACAGGGGCAACAACTGCTTTGTTTTTAAAGGAGTTGTCCAAAGAGGAGGCAGAACCCCTGGTCTGCCCAATAGCTCAGCGGCTAGAGCACTCACATGGGCTGCTGGAGGTCTGGGTCGAAGTTACTCTTCTGCCTCAGGGGATTCACACATGCCTTCAAATCCTGCTGCTCCAAGAAATGTTTGTCTTTATTTTGACGTAAAACAGACTTTGGATAAAATGCAGATGCAATCCTGAGAGCCCAGACTAGAACCAAGACATGATCCCCTCCCCACAACCCTTCTCACTGTCCCTTCAGAGAAAGGGGTGATCCCTGCTTTGTTGTGGGAAGGGGGGGCCCTCAGGACTGAATCAGAGCTGGAGGTGCTGCCCAGTACTGCTGAGTAAGGCACCTAAACTGAAGGGACGGGCAAGGTTTGAAATACACCTGTCCTTACTCCTTTTCTGGGTGGCTCCTCAGTCCTTAGGTTGTTCCTTGCCTGGTGTGTTGGCTTTTGCAGAGGCATCAAACTGTCCATAGGCATTATACGGGGAGCCTTGGCATCTAACACAAGGCTGTAGATTCCACCGTGGGAGGCACCTAAAAGTTAAGTGGTGCAGTGGTCAGTGTTGTGATGCCTGAGGCCCTTTATAAATCCAGGACTAGGTCCCTCCACCAGGAAGAAGTCATTGATATATCCTGTTTACTCAAAGGGAAAGACTCCAGTCTTATCACGGTGGTACCCTGCATTACCCAAATCTAATTTTGTGTATCATAAATGTTTCAAAACAGATCACAGTTTAGATAGGGGTCTTTTGGGTTTTTTGGGGTAAGTGCACTACTCAGGATTTGAACCAAAGTTCAGCTACCAATTAGTATGCGTGCAGAATGACCTCCAAGGTCTATTTTATGCATGGTGTTGAAATGAAAATCAGGGCTTCTTTTGTAAACTGCAGGGATATTTATTTATTTTAGACCGTCCTGTTAAGGTACATGGACAGTCCTAATTTGGGCGGAGTTTGCAAGGGAGAAAACTAGTGCTGGGCAATCTGAAGAATTCTTACTGAATTAGTCATGCTTTGGGGAGTATTCAACAGTTCCGATTTAGCTTCTTGGTTTGTTTATTCAGTGTGTTTGAATGCAATTTGTAAATAGTTCCAGTGCTCTGTGCTTTCCTCAAAAGCTGTAAATTCCAAAGATTTCAATTAAATTATTTATAAATTTGAGGACAGTGTTCAAAATATCCAATGTAGCGGCTTCTCATTTGTCTCTTCTGTTATATAGTTGAAATCATTAGCAAGAAATTTGTTTCATTTCAAGAGAACACTCTCACCTCTGAAAGGCTTGTTTCACTTGGATTATTTTGTGCTTACTGCTTTTTCCTCACCAGCATCTGACAGAGCAGACTCAAGTTTGAGACGCATTATATCCTGCCTTGTTTCTTGCAACAGCCCCCTTGTTGACCTTTCAGGTACATATATTATACCCCTTCAGCCCATTCAAAATCTTTCTGCTAACCTCATCTTCCATGCCCTGATCTTCTCATTCCCTTTCTCACTCTTGCTATTAGCCTCCCAACCAACAGTGAATCAGATTCAAGTTTTTTCTCCACTTCAGGGCTCCACACAGCTCTGTCCCTCCTTGCAATCCTCCTTTGACCAGTTCTGTGCCGCCCAGCCATCTGTTCTGCTTTGCCATTGTCTCCTACCCTGTTTGCCAGATTTGCATATCATTACCTTTGTGCCCTCCTCTATGTAGCTCCTGAGGTCTAGCACAGCCTTTCTGCTCTCATCCCCACCCTGCCCCCTTTAACATCCTTCTTAATACCCCTCATCTGCCATGCTGCCTTTAGTGAGTCTTGCTGATTTACAGCAAAGCTACCTATTGTTAGCCTCATTCCCTGACCCCCCATCCTTACTGGAAACCCCTCAGAGCAGGGATTAAGTGTTTGGAAAGTGCTCTGCATTTAGGAGTCACTATCCCAAGTAACTACCACCACTGCTCATTCTTTACTCTCACTGTCAGAGGCTATAAAAGGCAGCCCAGCCTGTGCTAATTGTCTAGGTGGCTACACATGGCTTTGACTGGCATCCCTAACCCAGCTAATGCACCAGCCAGCTACTGGCTGGCCCTCCTGGTTGGCTGCTGGGGAGAACAGCTTCCCTAGTTAGTTCCAGCTGCAGCAGCATGTTCCTGGCTAGCTCTAATTCTGCTGAAGGTCTGTGATCCTGGGTCTTTGTCTCCTGATTCTGCTTGGCTTTGTTCCTGGACTCTAGCTTTATGTGTATTCCCTTTGGATCTGGTAACGTGGTGTCTAACTCTTGGTTTGCCCTGACTGTGGTTCTGGCTCCTGCTGTTTTACAACTCTGAGCCATGTCCTTGCTTACCTCTGGTTCCTGGCATAGTCTGACTTTGGCACTGGCTTCTGACTCCTGACCCTAGGCTCAGCCTGGGATTTGGACTCTGCCTCTGGTTTTTTCTTTGAATCTGGTAACTTGGTCTTTGATTCCTGATCCTTATCTCCCATCTCACTCAGCAGGTCCCAGATGCTGAGATCCAAGAGTTCTGCTGAGTCCAGTAGAAATCTAGCAGGCAAGCTGGGATACTACCTACAGTCCAGGCCCATGTATGTTGAGCCCTGGCCCAGGCTTTAATTACAGGCCCAGCTTTCCTGCCTTAGTTTTTGTTTTCTGTAAGGCAGCTACTACCATGGGCCAGAAGATCACCCTCTTGCTGCTGAAATGCATAAAAGGTTCTGTCCTTGCCTAGTCCTGCTATTAAAGCAGTGCCAGATCTCTGTATCTAAGAATATACACTGTGCTAATGATCACAGTGTGGGTAACTGCAAGTCTAAGTAGGATGTTGATGGAAATACCCTTACCTAGAAAGGGTAGAAAGCAGGCAGTGTGAGACCCAGGCTAACTATCTCAAGTCTACAAATTCCATGCTGTTTTCCAACTTTCCATTAGATGGCCCCAGAGACCTGAATTTGAACTCGCAGCTGATAATCTCAGCCCTAACTGCTCCTGCCTGGCTCACAGTTCCAGAAAGGGGAGAAGCAGTATCCCTTAGGTTTCCATCTGTAGGCTAAGTGACATGGAGACGGTGGTGAAGAGGAGAATGAGGGAGGGGTGGGAAGGGCAGTGACCTGGCACTGCAGGCAGAGGCTGTAAAAATGGACCTCGGGGTACTTCCAGTATGTGTAGTGGAAAGACAAATTTGACCCTGACTGGCACAGAAAGGAAAGGATGGGTCTAATATTTACTCATTTTACTCCTTTATCATCAAACCAATCCTTTTGGAGGTTAATGGGCATGCAGCAATTGTATTCCCCTCTAGGCCACAATGGGGCTCCTGGCCCTTTTGGCAGGGTGCTATCCAAACAGCTCCTGATGCTGTCCATGCTGCAGAGGGAGGTTCTGGGACACGCATTATGGGTGAAGCTCACTGCTCAGAGGCAGGACACCTGGGTTCTGTTCCCAGCTCCGTCACTGGTTTTCTGGGTGGCCTCAGGCTAGCCACTTTGCAGAACATGCTATGATTTCCCTGCCTGTAAAATGGGGTTAATGTTATTTTCCTTTTATGTCAAGTCTTTTCAGGGTAGGATAACAAGTGCTGTCTAAGAGCTGTGTATGGCTACTTTGCCAGATATGCCACAGGTTGCTGGATGACTCCAAGCACCTCACCACTTTGTGGCTCAGTTTCCCCAGCTGTGAAATAGGGTACCTAATTCTTACCTGCCTCTGACATCCTGTGAGATTTCTAGTCAGGAAGCTCTTGACAGGTGCTCAGCATCGTCATCTATTCATGTTTGCCAAGTGCATCTGGACCTACGCAAAAGGACCCTCTACATGGGCCAAGTCTAAAGAGGCTCATTACACTTCCTGAAGTATTTAATTATTTGTGGACCACTGGACTTACTGTCAAGCCAGATGGTTTAAGACGCAAATAACCAAAAGGGAAGTGTATGGCAAGGCTCTGGCTTCTTGCACGAGTAAGTTATAGGTTAGTTCTAGCTCACGGGGTGAAATCCATGCCAGCCTGAAAGCCTGATCTTCCACTTACTTCCCCTTGGAGGTAGTGACCACAATCTATTCTGTCCTCTGACACTGATACACTCTGGGATCTGGGGCAAGCTACTTCTCTCTCTCTACAATAGGACTATTTGTGGTGTTGTTCACCTGCCATTACTAGGACCAGGAGATGTTACAGATGAAAGACATTGCAGAATCTGGATCTCAGTGCAAGGCCAAAGGTTGCATCCTGCTAGTTGTCATGTAATAGGAAGCAGGAGGCTATGCTAGAGGTTCAAGGACTGGAGCATAACTCAGGTGATGCGTCTTCAGTCCTGGCTCTGCTGCCAATCTGCTGTGTGGTCTTGAGCAAATCCTTTCTTTCTCTATGCTTCTTCCCTAAAGCTGGCCTAAGAATACCTGCAGCCTTATAGCTGTCACCTGCCTTGTCTAGTGAGATTCCAAGTCCTGTGGAGAAAGGAGAGGCTCCCTCATGAGTGCTATTGGGGTCAGGGAGGGGCTTCTGCTTTCCTCTGAGGTATTGGCATGTTTGGAGGCTTTGACTAGGATCCAGGGATTTCATAGATTTTAGGGTCAGAAGGGACCTATTAGATCATTGAGTCCAACCCCCTGCCCTGGGCAGAAAGAGTGCTGGGGTCAGATGACCTCAGCTAGGTGTTTGTCCAATCTCCTCTTGGTCATCTGTACCCTTCTGTCAGTCATACAATCATAGAAAATGAGGTTTGGAAGGGACCTCAGGAGGTCACATCTAGTCCAACCTCCTGCTCAAAACAGGACCAGCCCCAACTAGATAATTGCAGCCAGGGCTTTGCTGAGCCAGGCCTGAAAAATCTCCAAGGATGGAGATTCCACCACTTCTTCAGGTAACCTGTTCCTGTGCTTCACCACCCTCCTAGTGAGAATGTTTTTCCTAATATCCAACTTAAACCTCCCTTGCGGCAACTTGAGACCACTGCTCCTTGTTCTGTCATCTGTCACCACTGAGAACAGTCCAGCTCCATCCCCTTTGGAGCCCCCCCTTCAGGTAGTTGAAGGCTGCTATCAAATCCCCCCTCTCTTCTCTTCTGCAGACTAAGTAAGCCCAGTTCCTTCAACCTCTCCTCAGAAGTCATGTCCCCCAGCCCCTAACCATTTTCATTGCCCTCTGCTGGACTATCTCCAACTTGTCCACCTCCTTTCTGTAGTGGGGGGCCCAAAACTGTCACCTGCAAACTTGCTTAGGGTGCAATCCATCCCGTCTTCCAGATTGTTAATGAAGATATTGAACAGAACCAGCCCCAGTTCTTAGAAAGCCCAGAGGTTCCTGGCTAGATGGTTTAGTTGTTCTGCTCAGGGTTGTACCAAAGACCAAATCTGGAGGCGGGATGGACATTTTTTCCCTTGGGTCAGATTAGCATGGACTGCAATGGGTTTTGCTTTCCCCTGTGTTATGAGGCACAGTCCTTTCTCTAGGATCTTCTGAGTGGCAGCACACTGGCAGTGCCCTCATTGCCTTTTGCTTTAACCTATGGCATGTGATAAGACACTTCGGGTATTGCTCCTCTGTGAAATATTTGAAGTATCAATTATGGGGATTCCTTTAGTTAAGGATTACCTGCGAAGGTGGAGGGCTGGAGTCGATAGCCCAGGAAGTCCCCTCCAGTCCAGTGCTCACCTTGCTAGGTGTGTGTGTGTAATCCCCAGCATGGGAGGGTTTCATAACATTACTGTCATACAAATGAATACCAACATGCATCTTTCCAATGACTCTTCAATGTAGCAAGTCTGCTGCTGGGTGCGTTCACTGAAAGCAAACCTGGGATAGGAGTGCTAGTGTGTGGGAAGCAATGACATTATTCCCGTAGGATTTCTTCACAGCATTCACCCAGCTCCAGTGATGACACAGACAGCTCTCTGCACCCAGAGACCAGCTGGACAAATCGGGCAACTGATGTTGTTTAAACAGCCTGATGACTCCCTGGTGTGCTCTGGAAGGCAGAGGGAAATGGGGAAGAGGGACCCAGAGAGGTGAATCGGGGTGAAGAGTTAGTTTGGTTTTTTTTTCTCTGAGTGTCTGTGGCTGGATCTCAGTCCTTCGTGCCCACCCCCAGCCTAGCTCAGTGGCTCGGGAAGCAGTTACTGGCTTCGGGATAAAGTGGGTAAGAAAGAAGCAACAGCTGCCAGGGTTCTTCTGCTGCCTCAGGAGCTCTGATAGCACCAGGGAGCTGGGACAGTGTCTAATTTTAAACTCATGCCTTGTGCATTTGTGTATGTGTGAGTGCCATTTCCAGCCCCCCCACCCT